AGATAAAAAAAAAAAACGTATCTGTTAATGAAAATTAAAACCTAGGACATGCAGAGACTGTAGCTGAAGAAACACAGATGTAGGCCTATGTCACACTGACATTCACTGGTTTTATAAACCCTGGATGTTATCACATTTAGTTTAGATGAGTCACTGCTGTTCACTCAGCTGTCATATTTCACTGTGCCTAAAGGACACGCTCATAAATCTGTACAGAGAGTCCCATGGGATAAATGTTACAGAGATCATGGTATTTGCGTAGGCAGTAAGGCACACATAAGTGATTAAATGCATGCGCGCGCGCACACACACACACACACACACACACACACGAGCATTCAATACTTACATTTATATGTCCTGATTAGCAGAGAGGAGGAAAGAAGAGAGGAAGCAGATGCAAACCAAGAGCCTCAGGAAAAAATACATTTTGAATAATCATTTTACTGAGCAATGATAAGGCATGCATTGATCCGAGTGTGTTTGTGACGCATCCCAGACTAGCTTGACCAGTGCTCATACTTAGATAGTGGTTACCTATTATTAATATTATGCAACAACAAATCTATCTATCTATCTATCTATCTATCTATCTATCTATCTATCTATCTATCTATCTATCACATGACATTTGAACTTTACATCCCTTAACTCGCATCTGCTTAAGGTTGCCAACATGCACCTGTGGTATACAACACATATATGCATACATACATGTAATAATAATATAACCTGCTCATCGTCAGCTGTTTACACAGCTTATCCTGCTAATCCTTTGCAACCAATAAACATCCTGTCATGTCTAACGTTACACCGTTACACCCGTTCAAATGACAAAAATGTACTGAGATCTAAACCTAAATATCAGCATCATGAAAACAGATAAATGAGTACTGATTGTATAGGGCTGTTGTCTTTGTACAGTTTATAGACACGTTAGAGTGAAGTTGCATTTACGTAAAATAGAAGTGAAATTTTAGAACTCTTACAAAATGATAAACAGCTCCCTCTAGTGGAATTGTGTAATTGTCTCAAGCGATATCTACACTGAAACACATTGGTTGTAGAAACCATTAGAAACCAGAAATTGCTGGGAAAATTCAACACGTTGAATTAAACGTCCAATTTTAAATTATAAACTTGGTATCATTATATATATATATATATATATATATATATAATATAATAATAATTATATTATTATATATTTAATTATTTTTTTGTGGACCAAAGTGGTAGGATACTTCCCAGAAGTAAATTCCTCTTCCGGCCTCTCCAGTAATCTCCTGTAGACTGTTGGCTGTTTAATTCAAGCAGTCTTCAGAAGGTACTTTCAATTTAGATTTTCCTGATTGTTTTTTTTTTTTTTTTTTTTTTGGGAAAAAAAAAAGGGAAGAGGGGGAAATGAAATTGCGCTAACAGGATGCAGACTAGAAGCCGCCTAAAATTAAGTATAAAGAGGAGAAGAAAGCGGTCCTAGGCAGCTGCCTACACATGCCAGGATGCGCCACTGCCAGATAAAGTTAGAAATTTACTAAAACAAGCCTATCGCAAGACATCTGGTAGGGGGGGGCACCTGGGGTGGTCAGCCAAATTTCAGGGGAGACCGGTGCCACCCCTGGCCACCACGTAGACACGCCCCTGCAAGTCAAGTCACCTTTATTTATATAGCGCTTTATCCAATACAGATTGTGACAAAACAGCTTTACAGTGTTAAATAGGAAAAAGGTGTGTCGATAACGCAAGAGGACAATATAAAATAGTCAGTTTTTTGGTTAAAGTCAGTTCATTGTTGATTCAGTAATGTCATCGTCCAGCTCAGTTCAGTTCAGTGTCTGTGCAATCAAGCCAGCAATATTGCTAGAAATTGTGTTGACCTACAACTTTGTATAGGCTACATGAATTTTAATACAATCACATTCCGCACATATCAGTTTAGCTTTTACATAGAGAAATTAACAGACACAAAAGACAATTCATGTTTTGAGAGAACCTTACAAAATAGGTTAAAAAAAAATGTGAACAATCAAATTAGTTAATAAAATAAAATCAAAGTGCAATTGCATCTAGCTAGCTACAGTAGGAGGACTTAAATACAACTCATGGATATATTGTCCAGTTTGTTGCTTATGTCCTTGTGGCATGAAGATGTGGAAAACTGACAGAGGTTAGTGTCAACAAGAGTCACTGGAGAACTGCTACTAAATAAGCTAACTCAGTACTAAATAAAAGTCAGTCGAAAGTACAAAGTCTTCAATAAGCTGGAGTGAAAGGTCTCATAATCTCTTTACATTTTCAGATATATAATGATAACTTCAGTGCAGAAGAATAAGAAAAGTGTATTTCTTTAAAATACTGGTCTCTAATAATGAGGTTTTCCATACTTTAGTTTTTGGAGTTGATATTTGGGGTCATTCTTCACAGCAGAGAACTGCTGTACTCCCGAATCTCCTAGATTGTTCATGTACAGATCCAGTTCTCTCAGGTGTGAGGGGTTCGATCTCAAAGCTGATGCCAGAACAGCACAACCGTCATCTGTGATACCACAATATTCCAAACGGCAACGAAAAATTGTGATTAAAAAGGATTGTTTCAGTCATTTATCACTATCAGAGAAGATATAGAGCAAAAGTAATGATCTTACCGCAGTATCTCGCAGTCAGGCTTTTCTAGAGTGGTAGAGAGGATTTTTATATGCTTTTTAGTTTATTTTGAGAAAGATCCAGCTCTCTCAGGTATGAGGGGTTTGATGTCAATGTTGAAGCCAGAGCAGCACAACCTTCCTCTGCAATTTTGCAATTCCTCAGTCTGTAGAGGAAAAAAAAGAAACAAATCTTAATGCTGCTGTTGATTTTTATACACATTGTTTTTTTTTTTTGGTAAAAATAAATACAATTGTATTAAATAAACTAATTTCTCCTTAAAGCTCTTTTGTGATCTTGCTAAATAACATGATCATTAGCTGGAGTAGGTATTTTCACAAAAGCACCGTATTCACAATTTATATACACTCTATAATAAATAATTGTAAAAAGTTTAACATGAATGATGGCTCTCTCTATGATGATATGATGAATTGAAAATCAGTGGACTGACTGCAGTATAAAAAAAATAATGAATTCTGCATTTTCAGCATGATTTTGACATTAACTTACCGCAAAACTTCCAATTTACAGTTTGCATCCTTTAAAGCGTCAAAAAGTGCTTGCACACCTGAGTCACCTTTATTCCAATCTAGATCCAGTTCTCTCAGGTGTGAGGGGTTTGATTTCAAAGCTGAACCCAGAGCAGCACAGCCCTAATTAGTGACTTCACAGTGGTCTAACCTGCTGAGAGAATTACAATAATTTCTGTCTTTAGCTTTGGAACAAAGGACTTATTTGACAAATGTGGTGAGTGATAATCTTGCCTGAGCGTCTCACGATTACAGTCAGAATTCTCCAGATCAACAGATAACTTCCGCAATCCAGTGTCTCCAAATTTATTTGCAGACAGATCCAGCTCGATCAAGTGTGAGGGGTTTGATCTCAGAACTAAAGCCAGAGATGCACAACCATCACTTGTGATACCACAAAGTCTAATCCTGCAGAGGAAATGGCATCAGATCTAGGTTAATGGATACAGTTCTTTGTTAACAAAACCAAGCTAAATGTCAAAATATGTGTTTTAGGATAATTTAGAAGTAATCTTACCACAGTTTCTAAAGTTTACAAAGGGGATTCTGGAATTCAGCAGAAAGAATCATCAATCCGGAGTTAGTGTGTTTATTTCCAGACAGATCCAGCTCTTTTAGGTGTGAGGGGTTTGATCTCCGAGCCAAAGCCAGAAAATCACAACCCTTATCAGAAACATCACAAAACTCCAGTCTGCAAAAACCAAAAAAACCTAAACAAAAAAACCCTCAGGGGTTTCTTCATTAAAGACTTCTTCTCAATGTCAGTTTTGCAATACATTGTTTTTTCAGCTGATATGTGGGCCTTGAAACAAGGTAAATCAACCCTCTACATTGTGAGTAAATCACTCGCATATGCGACTAAATCTTCACTCTGGGCGAGTGATCTGTGCTGTTTTTCAGTTCATCTCAATGGATGCGCAGCACACCTGTGTTTGTGCATTTGACATACCGTAAACTCTAGTGTGAAGACGCACGACTCGCCGTCGCTTTGTCTCACTCGCGCAAAGTGAGAGAGAGAGAGAGAGAGCGAGCGAGCGAGAGAGTCTTACATAATATGCAGCTACAATTGATGCGCTACATGTAAACGATATTCTTTGTTGTATTTTCCTGTCCAAATAAAGGAGTTTCTTTGGAATTCTTCAGCTTTTAAGAACTTCCGGGTTCTCCAGTAGTGGGCGGAACTAATGCGCAAACGACAATCTCATTGGCTGGTGCTCACCTATTATTGTCCCTGTTTTGATTTCAGCGAATCTTTTCTTTACAGCTTTCTGATAGAGGTCAGATATTGAACCTTGTTTAACACAAGTCAGAACACTGGGTAGAAGACTAGGTTGGTCTATCACATTTATATTTTGATTCACAAATGAGAGGTAGGCTACACATATAAAGCTGCAAGATGTTCCTGAACACTCACATGAACAAAACAGTAGACTTTCCCCTGATGAAAATGATTTTACCTTCATTTGAGGAGAATTCAAGTTGTTTTGTGCACATGAAAGGTTGCAGAAGATCTTGAAGACTGAATGTTTGGTCCTTTATCAAATTAACCTCTCTGAAAGGAAGTGGAAATATGAGGTGGATGTCCTGATTTGCTTTCCCTTCAGCCCAGTCCAGAATGAACTTCTGCACAGAGACTATTTTTCCAATGCCAGCGACTCCTTTAATCAGCACAGTTCTGATGGGTTGATCTTGTCCAGGTAAAAGTTTGAAGATTTAATTCAAGTTGACTGGCGTATCATCTGTTGTTCCTCTCCTAAATGCAATTTCAATCCATCTGATCTCATGTTCATTATTGGTCTCGCCTCTTCCACCTTCTGTGATCTCAGTGTAGATCTCGTTGAGAGGTATGAGGTCACTATGTCTTGATATCCCTTCACACAAACACTGAAATCTCCTCAGATTTGATTGGACTGCTTCTCGAATTTGATCAAGGGGTGAGGCAGCACTGGAAAATTAAAATAAATCTTGTTATACATTTTAAACCATTACTCACATAGCAGATCGTTTAATCATTTAAATATATATTATTTAATAAGGAGATTTTAAGACTCGTAAACTGATACTCTTAATAATCGTAAAATGTAAATTAAAGACAAATAAACAGATTAAAAAGGACTAAATACAATGACCAGCAAGATACAGAAGCCTTTTTCCCCTCTCGTGATATAACTAAAGACTCAGAAGTAATATAAACAAGGATTTAATCATATTAATCTTTTACCTAGATTCTTTTAAATCCAGTGGACAGCTCACACACTGATCACTCCTTACAGACTTTTGGTTGGGACATGAAGAGGATCTTCCCTGCTGCTCTGAGCTGCAGTGAAACAGAAACATTACAATGTGAATTTAGTGTAATTAATTGTAACAACTGTGAAACAGTCACAAGCGTGAGACATAGATTCACAATAGTTAAAATAGTTAACTATATCTTTTTTAAAATGTATTGTTTTAAATGACATAGCATAAAACTGAAAAGTGAGGAAAACCTAATAATTATTAATGTACCTGGATTCTTTTAAATCCTCTGGATGACCCATTGACTGATCACTCCTCATGGACTCATGGCTGGGACATGGAGATGCTGATCTCCCTTGCTGCTCTGAGCTGCAGTGAAGCAGAGACATTGCAACAATAATTCAGTGGATCTTCCTGTCATTCAGAACCAAGTGCTGCACAATGAGCTAGGTGTAATTGTGACATTAAAAAAAATAAATAAATGTGCAATTGAGAGATATAAAACATTTTGGCTTTATTTTTGTTACGTAATACTAAAGACTAACAAAGTTTTTAAAACTAGTTTAAAGGGAGTTTGAATTTACCTGGGCTTTTTAACCTTGAGTTGATCCATTTAATGATGACTCCTAATGACCAGGTCTTGTTAAATCTGATCTCCCCTTCGGGATCCCCTTCTGGTGATTACGTTTAGCTTCCAGACTAAAGACTAAATATTACATGACGTAAGAAACAAATTTGGCTATTACAATGTATTAATTAAAAGTATTAATTGAGGGTTTACTTGCCACCCATACAATAAGCCAAGCATTCATTCATTCATTCATTCATTCATTAGTGGGCCTCAGTATTCGTCACATTTTCAGAACTCATTCCAGCTACAATCATTCTGCAAATTAACCAAATAAAAGTAATAGTAGCAAGTAAACCACATGGTCAAAATATGGCCAGAAACCCAATTCATCCAACAGACTAGGCCTATACCAGCCTATGAAACAGCATAAAATAGCGACAAATGTAAGTAATGCAAAATACTGGACGGAAGTCACGTACTGTAAACATTCCGATTCCTTTTTGTTTTAAAGCAAACTAGTTATCTCTCAAAACAATTGTTGTTTTTGTCAGAGTAAAAGGTAAAACATGTAGCCCAACTAGTTGTGCACGTCATTGTATGCCTTCCTATTTTTTAGACGGATAAACTGATACCGAGTCTTCTTTCAAATTCCAAATTCATATCTGAAGGTAAAAGAAAAATAAAGCAAAAATAATAATAATAAATTAAAAATAACAAATAATAACTCAATGAATGTCTTATTTCAGTAAATAAACAACATTCAATTCACACCTACTTAGTGTTAATAATGTCTGGCTGAACCAATTGCTTTTGCAGGTTAAGGAAACAAAAGATGACAATTAAATTCGAAACACCTTGATAAAAAAAGTGACAAATGACTGTTTGATATCAAGCTAATAAAAACAGATATTTTCACCAATACAGCCAATCTAACGTTTATGTAGGCCTATCTTCATTTACAACTCTCACAACATCACTCACCCTCATCTCTAAAGATCACGAGGATCCTTGACAAACCATCAGCTTTTAATTGTTGGGCAACGCAAGGCATCTTATTAAACTACTTACAGTAAACTACTTTTTATACAGCTACTTGGCTAAAATTGGCCTGAAACAAATTACTCGGTAATTAGCGCAACGTCCTGTTCAATCGTGTTGTAAAGAACCTGTGCTCACCTGTGAATTAGCCTACAGTCATTCAGTAAACATTTGTCAAGGCGATATTATATTAAGTAATAGGCTATGTAGCCTACGTCTACACAATTTCTTTCTTTCTGATTTGTATACTAATTATCCAAACAAGTCAATGGGCGTTCACAAGTACAAACAATTGCTACATTTCAAAAACACCTCGTTTTAAAAATTAGTTTAAAATGATGGGAGATGGATTTTCAGGTAAATTCACACAGTTTGAATGGACAGCAAAACACATGGGGTTTCCTTAAAACACATTTTAAACATACATATTTTAAATAAAGAAAGAAATACACACTGAAAGCAACTTTTTAAGATTAATTACAAGTTGGGAAAAAATTGCACATTGCAGCCTTATCACTCTGCAAAATGTAGAATATATCATATAATTACAATATAAACTAAACAAAATCTTTACAAGGTTTATGCATTTTCATTATAAACAACTATATTTGGGTATAAAGACATAAAATGAAGTGCAGAGAGAAATGTTCTCCATTTCATGACATTGCCATCTGCTGGGAAATATTCTCAAACACATTCAGAAAATAGTTCCATCACCTAATGTGTTGGACAGACTTTAAAACACCCAAAACAACAGATCACGTACATTAGAAAAAGTTCAATTGTGACAATGAATGAATTATGATTAAAACATTGTGTATCAGTCCCTGGTACAGCTTTACTGCAGCAACAAATCCACGGAGCAGCCCAGTTCTTAGTTAAACTCTCTTCAAATGCAACTTTTAAAAAAGAAAACATTAAATGAAAACATCTATTATTACAGATAAAAGTGTAATTCTTCAAAAATTCTTTATGTTGACAATCTTATTTTCCTAGTGCAATATTTGTCACTTGGTTAATAAAGATTGAGTCAAAAAAAATAATAATATATATATCTGAAACATACTCTAATTTCTCCAGTTTATAGTGTGGATCGAATTTCATAGCAGGGAGCAGGTTTGCTCCCATGTCTGTGATTTTATTTTTAGTCAGATCTAGCTCTCTCAGGTGTGAGGGGTTTGATCTCAGAGCTGAAGCCAGAGCAGCACAACCTTCATCTGTTATATCACAATCTCTAAGCCTGCAGACAGAACAATGACACAGCATTTACCCTTTCATTTCACACTATATATACACTTTATTATAAACTTTTTCCATAGACTTTTTTTTTTTTTGCCAGGTACTTAAATTTGCATGCTTTAAATGAATTTTCCATTAACTAAAGAGGTTTTCATCTCACCAATCTTAAGCAAAAATCTTACCATAATATCTCCAGTTTACAAAGAGGATTTCTGAGTCCATCAGAGAGAAAGTTAACTCAGTCATCTCCCAATTCATTCTCCGACAGATCCAGCTCTCTCAGGTGTGAGGGGTTTGCTGGGTCAAAACAACCCAATAGCTGGGTTTGTCCCTTTTTAACCCAGCATTTTTTAGAGTGTACAAGGACCACAATCTAGATATAATAAAAATGTAAGAAAAAAATGTTGATGCTAGTATAGATTAATTTCATCACTCAAAGAGATGATCTTACTTCAATGTTTCCAGTTTCCAGTAAGGATTTTCCATTGCAGCAGAGAGCAGCATCATATCTAAGTAACTTAGGTTATTCTTTGACAGATCCAGTTCTCTCAGATGTGAGGGGTTTGATCTCAGAGCTGATACCAGAGCAGCACAGCCTTCATCTGTGCAACTACAGCTCACCAATCTGCAGAAAAAAACAACAACACACTTTTTTCCTTCAAGACACACTGATCTTTGAAGCTGTGACCCTCCAGTGGCTGCCCAAAATCACAAACAAAATACACACTGCTGTTCAAATTGGATTTTTAAAAAATTTTTTTTTACATATTTTGAGATTTTCTTGGACTTAATTTTTTCCATCTCAAGTTTGCAACTTCAATTCATGATCTTACTTCAATGCTTCCAGTTTCAAGCAAGGTTTCCCCATTACAGCAAAGAGCAGCATTGTATGAAAATAACTTAAGCTATTCTCAGACAGATCCAGCTCTCTCAGGTGTGAGGGGTTTGATCTCAGAGCTGAAGCCAGAGCTGCACAACTTTTATCTGACAAGTTACAAAATCTCAGCCTGCAGAAAGATCAATGGGACACACTGTAAATTCTTTACATTTGCTCAGTTCATTAAGAAGCTCTCAGAGTACAACGTTACAGCACCCTAATATCTTAGGAGAGTACAAACATCAGTAGGATAGATTTAGACATCTACATAGCTTTTTTAACTATTTCTTATTTTTTTAAACACTAACACATCATTTACTTTTGTATTTGTAGCTTCTGAAGAACTTACTTCAGTGTCTCCAATTTACACTGAGGATTTTTTAGTCCATCAGAGAAAAGCTTCACGCCTTGATTTCCTAGGTTATTTTCAGACAGATCCAGCTCTCTCAAATGTGAAGGGTTTGAATTCAGGGCCGAAGCCAGAACGTCACAGCTTTCGTGTGTGAGACCACAGCGCCATAACCTGCGCCAGACAGTTTTGTTTGCTCACATTCCAGTTCCATTAATACAGCGCATGAGTATGTAAAAATGCTAATAATACTTCAGACACAGTTTAACTGTGCAGGATCTATTTGTAGTTTTGACAACTTGCAGGACTTACCACAACGTTTCTAGTTTGCAGTGAGGATTTCCCAGTCCAGCAGAAAGGAGCTTCACACCTGAACTCTGCAGATTATTGAAGTTTAAGTTTACTTCTCTCAAACATGAAGATTCTGAGCTGAGAGCTGATGCCAGATCAGCACAGCAATTCTCTGACAGACTACAACAGCCAAGCCTGAAAAAAAAAAAAAAACGAATAAAATAAGATCGCTCATATAAACAATTATAAAAACAGGAAATATTACAGAAATATTATTTATTTGGTTTTTATATGATCATCAATATATACTAAAAATACTCTCAACCTGATTTATTAAAGTGTCGGTACTTTAATGTCACAAGGAAATAGAATGAATGCTAGTAAAGTCCTAGTCAAATGCACATATCTGTACATGTAAGTTCAAAACAAGGCCCTTTATGTACAAGAAAATATGCAAATGTTTAGTCAAATCTAAGCACATATATATTTTTTACTTACTGTGCTGATCTGGACAGTTCAACCACAGGTAATAGATTATGGAGAACTTGATCTTGTGTGAGGTGTTTCTGGTTGAACTCATCCCTGATGTATTTGTTTAATTCAAACACTTCCAGTTTCTCTGAGGTAAGCAACACAAAAACCAGCTCTGACCACTGAGACAGAGACAGAATGGCATCTTTGATCGTTCCAGCATTCAGATAGTCTTGGATTTCATTTTCCAGAGTATGATCACCTAGTTCATTCAGACAGTGAAACAGATTGATGGATTTCTCTGGAGAAAGATCTTCTGTAACCTTCCTCTTGACATACTGGATAATTTGCTCCATATTGTGAGATGTTGCTCCTGTTTGTGTCAGTAGGCACTGAAAAAGAGTTTGATTGGACTCTAACGAGAGACCCAGAAGGAAGTGAAGGAAGAGGTCTAGATGGCCATTCTGACTTTGCAAAGCTGCTTCCACAGCCCTCGCATAGACTGTGAAACATGCTGGGTACTGAACGTCATGTTCTAAGGACTGGTATTCACTGAGAACATCTAGGTTTTTCAAATTGAATGAAAACATCACATACACAGCTGCTAGATGTTCCTCAATGCTCAGATGAACGAAGCAGAAGACTTTCCTCTGACACAGACCAAACTCCTCTCTGAAGATCTGAGTGCACAACCCCGAGTACACTGATGCTTCTGTCACATCAATGCCACATTCTCTCAGATCTTCTTCATAGAAGATCACATTGCCTTTCATAAGGTGCCTAAAAGCCAGTTTCCCCAGTTTGAGGATCATGTCTTCATCTTTAATTTTAAAGGCCTTCTCATGCATATTTCTCATCTGAAGAATCAGGAAGTGTGTGTACATTTGAGTGAGAGTCTTGGGAATCTCTCCACTCTCTGCTTGACTCAACATCTTCTCTAGAACAGTGGCTGAGATCCAGCAGAACACTGGGATGTGACACATGATATAGAGGCTCCTTGATGACTTCAGGTGTGAGATGATTCTGTTGGTCAGACTCTGATTTTTGAATCTCTTCCTGAAGTATTCCTCCTTCTGAGGGTCATTGAAGCCTCGTACCTCTGTCAGTCGATGGACACACTCGAAGGGAATGAGAGCTGCTAGATGTTCCTCAATGCTCAGATGAACGAAGCAGAAGACTTTCCTCTGACACAGACCAAACTCCTCTCTGAAGATCTGAGTGCACAACCCCGAGTACACTGATGCTTCTGTCACATCAATGCCACATTCTCTCAGATCTTCTTCATAGAAGATCACATTGCCTTTCATAAGGTGCCTAAAAGCCAGTTTCCCCAGTTTGAGGATCATGTCTTCATCTTTAATTTTAAAGGCCTTCTCATGCATATTTCTCATCTGAAGAATCAGGAAGTGTGTGTACATTTGAGTGAGAGTCTTGGGAATCTCTCCACTCTCTGCTTCACTCAACATCTTCTCAAGAACAGTGGCTGAGATCCAGCAGAACACTGGGATGTGGCACATGATGTGGAGGCTCCTTGATGTCTTCAGGTGTCTGATGATTGTATCGGCTAGACTCTGATCACTGATTCTCTTCCTGAAGTATTCCTCCTTCTGTGGATCATCGAAGCCTCGTACCTCTGTCATTCGATGGACACACTCAGAGGGAATGAGATCAGCTGCTGCTGGTCTGGAGGTGATCCAGATGAGAGCAGAGGGAAGCAGATTCCCCGCAATGAGGTTTGTCAGCAGCACATCTACTGAGGCTGATTCAGTCACATCACACAACTTCACGTTGTTGTGGAAATCCAGAGACAGACGACACTCATCCAAACCATCGAAGATGAAAATGATTTTACCTTCAGTTGGAGAGATTTCAAGTTGTTTTGTGCCCATGAAAAGTTGCAGAATATCTTGAAGATTGAATGTTTGGTTCTTCAATAAATTGAGCTCTCCGAAAGGAAGTGGAAATATGAGGTGGACGTCCTGATTCGCTTTCCCTTCAGCCCAGTCCAGAATGAACTTCTGCACAGAGACTGTTTTTCCAATGCCAGCAACCCCTTTAGTCAGCACAGTTCTGATGGGTTGCTTTTGGCCAAGTAACGGTGTGAAAATGTCATTCAGGTTGATTGGGGTATCTTCTGTTGCAGCTTTCCTGGATGCTTTTTCAATCCAACAGACCTCATGCTCATCATTGATCTCTCCACCTCCCCCTGCTTTTTTATTCCCTCACATAAACAGTGAAACATTGTCCACAGATCTGATATAAGTTTGTTGTGGACTTCAGCATGTTGACAGTCAGTGCTTCAACATAAGTAAGAAAACAGAAATTAGCAAGCACAAACAGATTTATACACATGCAGACATGGTTCTTAAGAAAGTTATTGTAAAAAAAAATAATCAATGATCAATTTGAATTTACATGTATTTATACGAGTGAATACCTGCACTCACGGAGTGCTGGCTTTATCCCATCACAACTCTGACATTGTCTTCTTGCATGTGACCTGAGCACATTACAGACTTCAGTATATGGACAGTCATTACTATGAGTAATTATACACAGATCAAGCTTCAATAGTCAAAGATTCATTGGGTTTACTTTATAGAAATGCCTCCAATGTTTTACATCTTTATTTTGAAACATACCTGTGTTCAGAGGTGTCTACATCCTTGAAGAACACTGGAAGCTCTATTGACTGACCACTGTTTATGGACACACAACTAGGCGCCGGTGAATCTGCTTTCTCTGACTGCATCGATCTGAAACACGACAAATTAATGACCGCTCTATTCAGAACACTTTATCATATACAGTAATGTTCTTGTATTCAGAGCAGAATTTGTTGTTAAATACATTGTAGAAATGATTTTGTGAAACCAGAGTGAAAATTGTTTCTGCACCATTTGTTTTTCAGTGTATGTATTTTATTTCCACACTTGCCACCATTTAAAAATAACAGCAGTTTTAGAACAGTTTTCAAAACTATCTCGTTTTTTTTTTATTACCTGTGTTCAGAGGTGTTTTTATCCTCTTTCCCAAAGAACACCGGAAGCTCCATTGACCGGTCACTGTTTATGGACACACAGCTCGGCACTGGTGAGTTTGATCTCTCTGCCTGCACTGAACTTAAAAAAACACAATTTAAGCACTTTTTCATAAATGCTTTCATCATGAAATGCTTTTATTCAGATCAGGCTTTTATCAATAAGTATGCAATACCGGTGTTCAAAAGTGCCTCCAACTCAAAATTGACCTCATCTGCCTTTAAATGTACACATTGGTTTGTCTATCTATCTATCTATCTATCTATCTATCTATCTGTACACATTGGTTTGCTACATCCATTTTTTAAGTACCTGTATTCTGGGTTGGCACTGGCAGCATCTCTACAACATGGTTTATGTTTGCTGAACCGGTGCTTCTTTATGGGTGCGCAGCATGGCTCTGGTGAGCCTGGTCTTTCTGGCTCCATTGATCTGTAACAACAGCAATAAAGCATTTCTTAGCATAAAAAATTATTTTCCAAGACAATGCTCTGTTTGTGGACTGAAACACATTTTGAAATGCATTTTACAGTTTTGATTCTGTCATTTTTTAAATTTTTATTTTCAAAGTGGCATATAAAACATAATAAACGAGAAAATGTATCAAAGTCAAAGTACTGCCCTGTTGGTAGTCAGTACTAATATGTTGGCAGTCAGGACTGTACAGTGTTGATGTTTATGTGCTCACCTGCGTCAGGTGGATCTCGCTCCGCCTTCGGTTGTTTGTTGATCCAGCACACCGGCGACGGTACAGTTCAGTTTACAATGCGTGAGCATTGTACAGCCTCCACCTGTTCCCTAACCGTATAAAATATAATTTTATGAAAAGTGCGTGCTTACTTTGTGACACAGCTGAAAGTCAGGGTTGTAGCAATAATTGACAACAAAGTGTGATGTAAAAACAAAAAAAACAAAAACAAAATGTTGGATACTGACAAAAGTAGTATTTTAAAACAGTTTAATCATATTAACGGTGTAAATTAGTGTTAAACAGTGGTAAGAGAGTCCTTATACACACAGTGAACTTCAGAAAAACATCCTAGCAATGTAAAAAAATATATTGTAATGGCATGCATTGTTGAAACGTGGCTAGATGTACAGAGAGAGACAAGTTATAGTAAACTACAGGTAACACATATAATATGCAGTGCAGTAAAATAAATACACATTTACCTATGCTTTTTCTTTTGTGCTAACAATATACAATACTTTCTTTAAAGTGTAGTGTAGAAGGTACAATCAATTTTAAACTGTGTTCAAATATCTAATCTAACAGGTTTTTCCAGTAGCTCTTCCTAAAGTTTAAACAAATCCTTCAGTGAGGAACCAGTATGAGGCATCTTTCAACTCGAAGTAGGCTATTTCCAGGACATTTAAAAACTAAAAATAGAGAACTGCTGTGTGAGAGTTGAAAGAACAACAGCAACGGTTCTAATATTTTGAAGGTTTGAAAATGAGAACATGTCTGGAAAAACTCAAATTCAAATTCAAAGCAACAGAGGCACTAATTTTAAAGGGGTCATATGATGCTGAGCCCCGGCTTAGCGTGTGCTGAGGCCGGGATAGAGTGAGCTGAGGCAGTCTGGACTCCGCTTCGTCCACGGTGAAAGTTGATGTATTCCCTCAGCGACCAGCACAGATCAGCTCTAGGCATGACGAAGCGGATATCGTCCTCTTTTGGAAGACCAAACAAAGTAGTTTCGCTTTCACAACGAAGCACACAGCGTCTTCACGACAATGCTGCAGCGTCAACAATACTACAGTGAGAATAAAAGTTACGCCTTCTTTCTTTGCGTGAACATTTGGGCGGCGTTATGCAAATCTTCCCACATAGTGAGGTAGATATGTTGGGGCATGTTAGAACGAGCCGTTTTAGGTAGGTGTGACTGACTCTTAACTTTTATAAAGAATATCTCTTTGGATTTGAGACTTTAGTCTTTGCAACTTTACAGACCTTCTTTATGCACTAAGAGCTTGTAACACTCCAAAGAGAAAGGAAAAATTGAAATCGCAATATATGACCCCTTTAAGAAACAATGGCTGTACTGGCTAGCATAAATAGCTGTTAGACTACTGCTAAGCAACCAAATAAGAAACACAAAAAGATACCCAACCCTGCACACAATAAAAAAAACAATGAAATAAAATAACCTCATCTCTGTTGAACTAAATATAGCAATACAGCAGCATCCCCCATCTCATATAAGGTGATTTGGAAAGAATGTAGCTTTTGATACTTTTTGCACTTTATGAACATTGTACTGTCTTCATGGTGAATGAGACTCCAATCCAGAGGTCATTTCTGAACAGTGTTTTGTCGACTTGGTACTTTTCAGGTGTTTCAACCCTCTCTTTTTCCATTTCATATTTCAGCATCGTTCTTTTCTCCTCTTCAACATGATGTAAAGTTTTTATGTCTATTTCATAATGTTGTTCTGTTTCCTTACACCATCTCCTCTATCTTCTCCAGGAGTTCAGTGACCTGAGATCCATCACCCCAGTTCTTAGTGTTGAGAACATGATACCTGTTCCCACATTTCTCAGTGAGCCACTGGAGAGCATCACCTTCACTTGCAATGGATAACTCTATGGGAGTTTCTCCTATAGTTCATCTCCAACAGCGAACACAATCAATGTGTGATTCCAGACTCTTTCACCAAAAGAATCCATGATTTTCTCTAATGCATTTTTCTCTTCCTCAGCAAAGGAAGACTCAACACTCTGGACTAAAATGAAATATAATAATCAATATTTATCACCAACCTGAGGAACTTTCTGAACTATGTGGATTCATAATGACACTGAATAGTGACACTTTAATGGGTACATTTCTGGATCAGTCATTTAAAAGAATGCATTAATCGCTGTTATATACAGGTAATGGTAATGTATTTTCAGAGATATTGTGTTGCCTAGTATAACTTGATTACAGAGAGCAGAACTTTATTCCCTTACTACTGCTGTTTAATTGAGCCAAGTGGTTAAAACAGTCAGGTGTGTTGATTAAAAAAAACCCAGACCCATAACAAAGGAATCAATGTGAAATACAACATTTAAGCTCCACAATGAGCCACAATCTCATTTACTAAATGAATGAATGAATGAATTGTGTACATGCACATAGTGAGCTAAAGTGTACAAAAAAGGAGAAAGTGCAAAAATTGTTTTAAAAATTAAAAGCTGTGTTTTAAAGGCCAAGCTTTTAGAGATGTTGATGACATATAGCTGTACACAGAATAGAGGTCCAAACTATTTTAGCCAGGTCCACTCATTTGCAGATTTACGGCTTCACCACTGGTAAAGATGGATAACTGCTCAGATGATTCTCAAATCACTATAAGTGTTTGTTTTTATGAAATGTATGTTGCCCTTTGCTGGTACGTGATTTACATTTAGTCCATTGTGTCCTCTGAACAGTCACTCTTCCACGTGACTTCAGTAGGGGCATCAAAACACTATATGACTAAATTTGAAAAGCAGCAAAATGAGAGACACTGCAGTTTCTATGGTCCAATCATCATTTCTTCTGTGGGGAATATAAAGTCATCAAGTAAAAACCAATGAGACACTTGCTATATAATATTACTGCTATTATATCAATTCAGGGCATTTATTTCAAGTTACTCAAATCTGCTAATATGGTCCACTGAACTGAATAAAGTTAGAAAAGAAGTAAATACCCACAAATAGCCAATATGCCTTATTGGAGTATCAGTCTTGATGACATGATCTTACCTGAATATTTCCACTTTACATAAAAATGCTTAGTAAAACACAGCAGAAAGCAGCTGCACTCCTAGATCCTCAAGTATATTAACAGACAGATCCACATATTTCAGATATGATTGATCTGATCCAAGAAGAGCAGCCAGAGCAGCACATCCTTCATATGTGAAACCACAATGTTTCAACCTGTAAAAGAGAGAACAGTAAGAAACTCTTCACTTCCTTATTCTGTAAAGAATGGCTAAAACCTACATTTTGTAAAATGTTCTTTACTGATGTACTTATATATTTCTAAGTACTTCGTTTTTTTGTGGTTGTACTGTAATAGACAATTTCAAAAGAACATTAACATTAAGACTTTTTAGGCCTTTTGTTACATTTATTTATGGGTATAGCAGAGAAAGGCCAGGAAGAAGAGGTGGACCAGGAGATGACAGAAGCTGGATTCAAAGTCATGCATGAGCACTACCACTAGGCCCCGCCCCCCCCCAAAAAAAATCTGTCTATGTTTCTTTTGGTCATGAATTAAATGATCACAAAATTTTCAAAACAAAGAGAAATCAGGAGGTCATAAACATGAGAGGAAAACAAATCAAGTAAATTGGTGGGTGTTTAAGTCTAAAAACAAGTCTGATTAAAGGATAGTTTCTAGATACAGTAGTTCTACATAGTCTAGATAGTTTTCATTTGTGACTGTTAGAAATATTTTACTTAAGTATCTCCAGTTTACAGTCATCCAGTCCAGTATTTAGAAGCTTCACTCCTAAATCTCCTAGTTTATTATCAGACAGATCCAGTTCTCTAAGATATGAGGGGTTTGATCTGAGAGCTGAAGCCAGAGCAGCACAACCTTCACCTGTGACATCACAATCATGCAGCCTGCAGGGAAAACAATAACACACTTTTCACTTTTGTCTGTTTATTCTATAGGAGAATGGGTTCCTTATAAAACATAGTCTACAACCATGGTTCATACGTGAACAATCTTTTTATAGAATGTTGTAATGGGTTTGCTTCGAAACTAGTCAATACACCATTCATGCATGCTCACAACAGTAATATAACTCATTTACTAGTATATATTTAATAAGACAAACTGTAGAAAGATACCCAAGCATCTCCAGTTTACAATGAGGATTGCTCAGTCCAGTAGAGAGCAGGTTCATTCCTGAGTCTGATAGTTTATTTTTAGACAGATCCAGCCGTCTCAGGTGTGTGGGGTTTGATGTCAAAGCTGAAGAAAGAGCTGCACAACCTTCATCTGTGATACCACAACTCATCAGCCTGCAGAAAGAACATCTTCATTAAAGATAAACTTAAAGGGCACGTATTATGCAAAATCCACTTTTACATGGTGTTTGGACAGAAATGTGTGTTGGCAGTATGTGAACACAACCACCCTACAATGATAAAAATCCACCCACTCCTCATTTTTTATTCCCCTTTAAACCAAATAAGTATCACTAGGCCTGCTGTTTTGATTCTCTATGCAATGTGACATCATATTGCATAGGCCCGGGCCACGGGGGTTGATTGACAGCCCTGCACTGCCATAGTTTCCGCTCTCCGCGGTTGTACGCTCTCCTCCATTTTCTCCGCGCTTGAGAAGCTGTAATGTCAACAATGTCTCGTAAGCAATCCAGGTGTTCTGTGTTTGGATGTGAGGCTGAACATAAGAGTCTTCATTTTCTCCCAACATCTGAGCCACTGAGGACGCAGTGGATTACTTTCATTTTAAAGGGGTGGTTCATTGCGATTTCCCTTTTTTAACGTTAGTTAGTGTGTAATGTTGCTGTTTGAGCATAAACAATATCTGCAAAGTTACGAAGCTAAAGGTTCAATGCAAACTGAGATATCGTCTTCTGGCAGTTTAATGCCTACAAAAACAGCTGGTAGGGACTACAAGAAGTTACTTCCCGGGTTCGTGACGTAACAAACCCAGATAAACCCCGCCCTCGGGAAAAGGCAGCAAAGGGGGCGAGGCCTGCGCTGCTTTAGAGAAGAGGAAGAGAAAACTAGAGGTGCACGTAAAAATCTATTCATATATGAATCGCGATTCTGTCTTCTAACGATTCTAATGGATTCACAAGTTTCAAAATCA